TTTATAAGCCAATGATTTTTTTCCGTGTTTCCTTCGAACTTGGAACGAGCATGAAGAAATTAACGATACTTCTTTATCTTTTGAGTTGTTCTGCCGGATCGGTCGCTCAAGATCTTTGGTCTCTACCCGGACCCGATGAAAAAAATGGGATCACTTCTTATCCGATATTAAGTAGCAGTCAAAAATTTGTATCCATTTTTCATGATATTATGCATGGATCAGATATATCATGGCGAATTCTTCAGAAAAAATGGTGTCTTCCACAATGGAATCTGATAAGTGAGATTTCGAGTAAGTGTTTACATAATCTTCTTCTGTCCGAAGAAATGATTCATCGAAAAAATGAGTCACCATCGACACATCTGAGATCGCCAAATGTTCGGGAGTTCCTGTACAAGCTTCTTCCAAAGCATACGGCTTTCTGGATGTAGATGATGATATCTTATCTATACAGATGGATTATATATATATCGTATAATGAAGTACCCCATGAGGGGATATATGGGAATCCAAATCTGCCGAATCGCTCATGTTATGATCTTCTACAACCTAGGTCTTCCCGTTCCGTCATCTGGCTTATGTTCTTCATGTAGCATTCAGACCGAATGACTCTATGAAATTACGTCGATTTGGTCGTAGTTATGATTTGAAAGGTTTTGTTATTATCAATTTGTACATGTGTTATAGAACTGTTGAAAAATGAATATTATGCATTTTGTTGTACTGTTCTGCTATCTCAGTCCTCTTCATCCCTCAAGCATCTCTCTCATTCTTTATTGTCATTGTAGATATCTCCAATGTTCCTTATCGGAAATAACAGCACATTTGACGTCATTTTCATAGGCGATAAGCCTGTTCAGTCTCTCTTTCTCATATTCCCTTTCCTCTCGCTCTACTAGCTAATCTTCTCTAACTCTAATTTTTTATTCCATAACTTTAAGCCATTAATTAAATTATTTAATGATTGTCATTACATTTTGTTTTCTCTGTATTATGAGAGATCCCGATTGTTGATTCTAAGATTTTTAGTGATTTGTTTAGTCATTTTATGATAATTGTTATGAAACTTTGTTACTTGATTACAATATTTGTGGTTTATAAAAAATTTGGATATTTTTACTACATCAATTAGTTGTGTTGTTACACATTTTGTGATTGATGTTATGAAATTTTTTGGGTTAGTTATGACATTTGTGATTTGTAAAAATTTTGATTATTTTTATTATGACAATTAGTGGTGCAGTTACGCCTTTTGTAGTTAATGTTATTAAATCTTGTGAGTTGGTTATGACATTTGTGGTTTTTAAAATTTTCAGATGTTTTTGTTACACCAATTAGTGAATAGTTACATAATTTTTAGTTAATGTTACGAAATTTTAAGAATTAGTTACGACATTTGTGATTTTTTATAATTTTAAACAATTTTGTTACGCCAAGTAGTGATGGCGTTATGTATTTTGTGTTTTATATTACAAAACTTTGTGACTTAATTATGATATTTGTGGTTTCTAAAATTTTAAATATTTTTATTACACCAATTAATGGTGTAATTATACATGTTGTAGTTGATGAGTAAAATAGTCTTTTTTTTATTAATTTTACTTAATAAAAATAGATGAAGGATTTATACTAAAAATAAAAATAAAAATTAAGTATGAATTGACAAAATTATAAATAAATAATTTATTTTATTATAAGACTCTATTCATAAATGCTTTAATTTTGTTTTTTTTTATAATGATTATTACATAATTCCGGCCTTATTTTCTCCAAAAATTTGGAACAAACATCCAAATTTTGTCAAAATCAAAATTCCCTCATTAATTATTTTTCACAAATCCCTAGACCCTTTCTTTAGCACAAACGAGAGAGAGAGAGAGAGAGAGAGAGAGAGAGAGAGAGAGAGAGAGATTTCTGGACTTGGGGTGTGTCGTGAGCTCATGAGCCAAATTTACGCCCCTATATGTGAGTAATAGTTATGAGATATGTGATTAGTGGTTATGATAAATGTGATATTAGTTATAAGGCAAATAGTGTTGGTTATGAGATGTGGTATGACATAAGTGGGTAAAGGTTGTTAGATATATGATTAGTGATTATTAGATATGTGATTTTGGTTATGAGCAGAGCGATATGGTTATCAGGCAAAGGGTGTTTGGTTATGAGATATGTGATTAGTAGTTATGAGATATGTAATTTTAGTTATGATCAAAGTGGTGTGATCATGAGATATGTGATTAGTAGTTATGACATATGTGATGTTGGTTATGAGATATGTGGGTAATAGTTATGAGATATTTGATTAGTGATTATAAGATATGTGATTTAGGTTATGAGCAAAGTGGTGTCAAAAGGTGTTTGGCTATGTTATATGTGTTAGTGGTTCTGAGATATGAAATATTTGTTATGATCAAAATAGTGTAGCTATAAGCAAAATGGTTGTTAGTTATGAGATATATGACTAGTAGTTACGAGATATGTGATGTTGGTTATGACTCAAAGTGATTGGTTATGAGATTTGGTTATGATTCATATGGGTAATGGTTATGAGATATGTGATATTGGTTATGAACAAAAGTGGTGTGATTATGAGCAAAATGATAGTGGTTATGAGATATGTGACTGGTGGTTATGAGATATGTGATGTTGGTTATGAAAAAAAGGTATTGATTATGAGATATATGACTAGTGGTTCTGAGATATATGATGTTGGGATCTCTGGACTCCTCTGATTTCCTTTGCCCTCCTTTTGGTAACCGGTTACACCGGTTGCTGATTCAAAATTAAATTATTAAAATAATTTAGTTATGTGGTAGTTATTATGAGATAATTTGGTATGTATGAATAACTAAATATAGCTAAGTTATGAGTTAATATGATAATGGTTATGATCTATATGATATTAGTTATAATATAAAATCACATATCCTCATAACTAATGTATGGTACATCCAAATGTACCATAGTATTACCGTCAAAGTTATAGGATTCAAATCGATAGAGTGATTGCAGTTCTTTCATTGTAATTTAATTTATTAACCTACTAACATCTTATCATTTGTCAGCATTTGTCAGGAAAAAAAAGGAAAAATAGAAAACCTTCGTGACCCTACCTCGGTAGTGCTCAAGAGAGAGAGATTAGATACAGTATAGGGTAAAATAAACAAAAACCAATTTATAAATTTTTTGTAAATATAAACTGAAAACGTAAACGTTACCAAACACACCCTTAGTGATTTCTTAATTAATTTTTTTTAAACAAAAAAATTAAATAAATTATACATTTTTATTATACAAATTAATAGCTGGACCGACTTGATAAATATTTACAAGCCCTTTATTTTAATATACGAGCTTGAAAATTCTATCCAACCTATCGGATTGATTGAAACTATAAATTTTGAATTCTTAAAAAAGCAATTGGGCCGACCATTGGGCCTCTTTCCACCCCTCCCCTTAAAGCCACATTTAGGAATGTAATCGGTTCGGTACGGTCGGTATTTAAGTAAAAAATTATACCAAATCGATAATGTCGGTTTTATTATTTTAAATACCGATACAGACCGTTTCTCCTATCAAACCGCACCAAACCAAATTGATTGAAATGGTTCGATTTGGTGCGGTTTAATCGGTTTAAAATTTTTCAAACTTGAACCACATTTAAATATAATCATTAATCTATATAAAAACATTAAATTAGTTATTTGTCTACCATTTCAAACATATCTAATCCATCCATTTAATACATACTTTTTAATTCTTAAATTAACAAAAACCAAAAAAACAAAAAAAAAAAAGGTTTAAAAATACTAAGGTTTCAAGAATAATGAGTTAGAGTTAAGATTATATATAATAAGAGTTTACAAACTTAGATTATAAAGATGATAAGGTTAATAATTTATTATACTTATTAATATCATTATATTATTAGATTATATATATATATATATATTATAAATACAATATATGTTGAAGCGGTCGGTTTCGGTTTAGATCGGTGCATAAGGTGCTTAAACCGATACCGAACCGAAAATAAAAAAAAAAAATCAAATTTAAAAACCGCACAAACCGATTCTTGTTAAAAAACAGACCAAATATAGCCGGTTTGGTCGGGTTCAATCGGTTTGGTCGATTTTTTCGATTTTTCTCACATCTCTAGCCACATTGCCCATCATCAATATGGCATCAATAAGTCTAAAGATGCAAAACTAATTACAGAATCAATCACATAAAACATAAGTGAAATAATTTGAGTCATGCTCTACCGTCTAATATATATGGTCAAAATTATTTTATATAATTAATTATGTGATTAAAACTGTATTTCTAGACTTACTTAATTACTACTATTTACTGATGGAAGAATAACAAACCTGGCACTGAACAGCAATTCCATGTTGCTTGTATTCCAAACTGATGCATCTTGAATACAGCTCAATGTACCTATAACAAATTAAGGTGGATTATGATTTCACAACTTCTCTATGAAGGATAGATATATGGATATAACCACAAAATCTTAAAAAATATAATACAGAAATAGGTTGGAAGAAGAAATCATAATCTTTAAATGGTCAATTTACTTTTGTCTTCTTTGGTCTCATAAAATTTCATCTCAAAATTAAATTAAAATTATTTATATTGCCCTATCCTTTCCTCCTCTTTCTCCCCCCCTTTTTTTTTTTTCCCCTTTCACACTTATATGTGTTATATTCAAAAAAAAATTTGCATGCAGTATTACTTATTTATTTAATTGTTGAAATTTGATTTTAGCCGCTAGTATTGTTATTTATCCTTACTTTCTACAAAATATTAATATAGATGTAGCCTATAGGATTCATACATGACACATTATGGATGCATTAATTTGATAAATCCTATTATAGTTTAAGAGTGTTTGAAAAGTATTTGACACTTCTCAAAATTAATATTAAACTAGCTACTAATCCATGCGATGCACAACATAAAATACTTTTTCATAACTTTTAGTTGAATTATTTATATGTATATATTTTAAAATATACATTGCAACATATATGCAATATTAAAAGAATAAATATTAGTCATATTGTCTATAAAGTGTAATTTAAAAGGAAGTTAATTTGGGACCACTACAAAAAAAAGTGGGTATATGAGACGGGACTATTTGCGACGGCACACTTGCCGTCTCAAAAAGTCACTTTTTGCGACGGCAAAAAATGCCGTCTCAAAAAAGCATAGCATTTGCGACGGCACAATTTGCCGTCTCAAAAAATGAGAGCATTTGCGACGGTATTTTCTGCCGTCGCAAATACTCTGTTTTTTTGAGACGGCAAATTGTGCCGTCGCAAATGCTCTGCTTTTTTGAGACGGAAAATGGTGCCGTCGCAAATACTCTGCTTTTTTGAGACGGCATTTTCTGCTGTCGCAAAAAGTGACTTTCGCGTTTTTTTTTTAAATTTTTAGTGAATATTTTTAAAATTTTAAATATTTTTTTTAGATGCACCTTACTTAGATGTATCTAAAAAAAAAATTATGAAAAAATATTTTTAAAAATTAATAAATACATAAAAATACAAAAAAAAATGTATTGTATTTTTGGTATTTAGTGAATTTTTTAAAAAAAAATTTACAATTTTTTTTTTAAATTTTTAGGTGTATTTATATTAGGTGTGTCTAAAAATTAAAAAAAATACTTAAAATATTAAAAAAATTCAGTAAAAACAATATAACACGGAAAACAAGAAAGTATAATTTTCTCAAAAGAGTTTTTGGAAAACTCTAACCTAGCATAGTGATTGTGGTTTTGAGACAACTTCATATATATACAGTCACAAAATGGTTTGAATAAATTCTAGTACTTTTTTCTTTCACAAAAAAAATTTAAAAAAACAATGTCTTCTTACTCTTTTGATGTAACATTTCTCTTTTCATTCATTTTTTCATCTTCACGTCTCTCTGCCTCTATCTCTCTCTCTTCTCTTTATCTCTTTCACTCATCACTCTTCTCTCTCTGTCTGTCTGTTTCTCTCTCTCATTTTCTCTCTGTGTCTCTCGCCTATCTCTCTCATATGTTTTCTCTCTCTGTCTCTCTCGCTCATCTCTCTTCTCTCTATCTCTCTCATTTCTTTTCTCTCTCTCTCTCTCTTATCTTTCTATCTCTCTCGCTCATTTCTCTTATCTCTCTGTCTCTCTCTTTTTCTGTGCCTCTCTCTTGCTCATCTCTTTTCGCTCTATATCTTTCTCTTTTTGTCTACCTCTCGCTCATCTCTTGTTTCTCTCTCTTTTTTATCTTTCCCTCTATCTCTATCTCTCTCTCTCTTTCTCACTCTATCTCTTTTTCTGTCTATCTCTCTCTCTCTCCCTGTCTCTCTCTCACTCATCACTCTTTCTCTCTCTTACTCATTACTCCTCTGTCTGTCTGTCTGTCTGTCTGTCTGTCTTTCTCTCTGTGTATCTCTCATTCATCTATCTCTTCTCTCATCTCTTTTCTCATTTATTTTCTCTCTCTATCTTTTTTGCTCATCTCTCTTCTCTTTATCTCTCTCGCTCATCTCTCTTCTCTCTATCTCCCTCATCTCTCATCTTTTTCTATCTCTCTCGCTCATCTCTCTTCTCTCTATCTCTCCCTGTTTCTCTCGTCTATCTCTCTTCTCTCTATGTCTATTTTCTATCTCTCACTCTCTATCTCTCTCTCTCTCTCTCTCTCTCTCTCTCCTACTGTGTTTGCGTTGCTCACTTTCTCACTCTCGTCTTCTCTATTTACTGAACTCCCTCTCGATTTATCGATCCACTACAAGAAAATGCACTTTTAGCGACCACTTTGTCTCTCTCTCGCTCATCACTCTGTCTCTCTCCTCTCTCTCTTCTATTTGTCTCTCACTCATTTTTCTCTCTCACCACTCATCTCTTCTACCACCTTTACCACTATTGCAAACACCATTCCACCACCACCACTACTTCCACTGTCGCCACTTCACCATTACTACTACCATCGCCACCACTCCACTACTACCACTACTGCCACTACTACTACCATTCCCTCTTTTTCACCCCTGCCATTCCATTTACACTACCACTACCACAACTTCACCACTAAATTCAGTATATACCCGTTGAACCTTGTCGTCGGAGGAGCAGCATCGGAGCAGCAGCAGCGGCGTCGGAGCAGCGGAGGAGGAGCAGTGTCGTCGGAGGAGCAGCATCGGAGCAGCAGCAGCGGCGTCGGAGCAGCGGAGGAGGAGCAGTGTCGTCGGAGGAGCAGCATCGGAGCAGCAGCAGCGGCGTCGGAGCAGCGGAGGAGGAGCAGTGTCGTCGGAGGAGCAGCATCGGAGCAGCAGCAGCGGCGTCGGAGCAGCGGAGGAGGAGCAGTGTCGTCGGAGGAGCAGCATCGGAGCAGCAGCAGCGGCGTCGGAGCAGCGGAGGAGGAGCAGTGTCGTCGGAGGAGCAGCATCGGAGCAGCAGCAGCGGCGTCGGAGCAGCGGAGGAGGAGCAGTGTCGTCGGAGGAGCAGCATCGGAGCAGCAGCAGCGGCGTCGGAGCAGCGGAGGAGGAGCAGTGTCGTCGGAGGAGCAGCATCGGAGCAGCAGCAGCGGCGTCGGAGCAGCGGAGGAGGAGCAGTGTCGTCGGAGGAGCAGCATCGGAGCAGCAGCAGCGGCGTCGGAGCAGCGGAGGAGGAGCAGTGTCGTCGGAGGAGCAGCATCGGAGCAGCAGCAGCGGCGTCGGAGCAGCGGAGGAGGAGCAGTGTCGTCGGAGGAGCAGCATCGGAGCAGCAGCAGCGGCGTCGGAGCAGCGGAGGAGGAGCAGTGTCGTCGGAGGAGCAGCATCGGAGCAGCAGCAGCGGCGTCGGAGCAGCGGAGGAGGAGCAGTGTCGTCGGAGGAGCAGCATCGGAGGCGGAGGAGTAGCGTCGGAGCAGCGGAGGAGGAGCAGTGTCGTCGGCGGAGGAGTAGTTTCTTCCTTTGATTTATCTGTTCGACCTGATTACAGTATGCTCTAGATAATAGTTTGGTTGATTGATTTCATGTTTTAGAGAGGATCTATTCAATGAAGTTTGATTTTAGTTTTTTTTTTTCAAAAAATAATTTAAAATGTTTGCTTCGATGTTCTTAAAAAAAATTAGGCCTTTGTTTTGAATTTCCTCAGTTGATTAGCTTGTGATTTTGATGTTCTTTGCTTCGATGTTCTTTGTTGTTTGTTTTTGTTGAAATATATGCTTGCAAGTTGTATTTACCATCTACAAAGTTATGGACCACAAAGAGCTTTCTTTGTGTGGTATAAACTAAGCAATATTTCTTTCCCATGTATTACTATACTGTGTCATTGCAGCTATTGTTGTTTCAGACAGAAGGACCAACTGAAATGGAGAAGAATGTAAGGTCTTTCACGCATGTGGGTGTATAATAAGTTTAGAGGATAGCGTAAGTCTCATACTGGATGCTAAAATGTGATTATGTGTTGTTCTGTGACAAGTTGCAGGTTGAAGATATGCCACCGAATGCAGAACCTGATATTAATATTGAAGGCCCCAGTACAGGAAACTTGGACAGTAATCAGAATCAGGAGGGTATGATTATTGCTTTATGCCTGTGTTGCAACTTGTATTTCCTAGATTATTGTTTAAACTATTGCCTGAACCTGCATGTAGTGTGATGCGTTTGTTAAATCAATGAGTACATATAAGTATCTCTCTGCAATTCTCTGATCATTTTGGGTTTCAAATTCATTGTGGCACTAAAATCTCTATGCTTGGTACTTACATTTATAATTTTGGTAATTCCTATTTCTCGTGATTACATTTTACCTATTTTCCCCTCCATCTAAGCAAAGTATCTTTTTGTGATTTGATAACCGTAAAATGGTATTGAAATGTATAATCAATGGGGATCAAAAGAGGGCAACAAGAATCTGGTATTGCGCAAGCCTACTCTTGAATGTGAATTGTGAGTTTGCTGCATATGTCTTCTGTTAAGCCACCAAATTTTCTAAATTCTTAATTTGTTAAGTAATGGGTATAACAATATATATTAAGCTCTACAACACTGCTTTCGTGCAGCCTCATCTCGTAGATGGAGAGGTGAATCAATTGAATTGAATGTGTGCACAAACACGTGCATATGTAAACAAATTGAACTGAATGGGTGCACTAAAACACAAATAGAACGGAGTGCATAACAACAAACATAATAAGGGGAACAAGCATAGATTAAGAACCCAAAACCTCCTGGAGCCAGAGTTTTGCATGTTAAGTTACCTAATTCTCACAAAAGCTTGGACTGTTAGATAATGGACTCAACAATGTATATTAAGCCAGCCAACACTTTCCATTAGAAAATGGCTTGTTGTTTAAGATATTATGGATCTTGTAGCCCAGTTTTGTTGGGGATTTTTTTCAGTTTCATTATGTTCTTTTTCTTCCTCTCTCTGATTAGCAGATGGAAGTGCAGTGTCACGCTTGTCTTTCTTCCCTTTATGTTAAGAACTACTATGAGTGGCTTTGGTACGCCAAATTGAAATATTTGATTCTTAGAAGATCATAAATACATGTATGTATATATTATATGGTGGATGAAGGGAGTTTACTATAATTTTTTCCTTTTTAAAATATCATTAACTGCAAAAATAAAAAAGAAAGTGTTTTGTAGTAGTCTACCTGTCGTATCAGTGAGGAACCTCAAGAGTCCAAACAGAACAAGTAATAAATAATTGGGTAGAGCTGAAGAAAAATTAAATGATGAAAAATTAAATTCTATGTTTATTTCATTACCCAATCATTAATCAAGGATAAAAGGGGCAACATTTTGGATTCACTTGGACATAGCCCAGCCACATGTGCTTGTCACACATACACAGTGAGATAGAGAATAAATGTTACTTTAGTTTATAATATACTGAAAACTATGAAACACAAAGTCACCCAAGGAAATGTTCTCAGATTGCTTTTTTAGATTCATTTCTGTACTTCCTTATGTGCTCTGAGACTTGTGATCTGAAACCCATGAAGCTTTGAATGGATATGGATTGAGGTTTTCTGTTCTAAGGCAAGTCTTAATCCTTTAAGCAGATTGTGTTGTTAATAGATTCTCTTTTCATCTGTAAGTTAAAAACTCTCTCTTTAAATTAAGAAAATAATTTGTTTTTAACATTCGTTTATTTCTTTAAAAAATGTGATTTGTTCTTTATTATTTAGACATTTAACCAGGTCTGACATTGTTATTTCCTCATTATTATGTTTGTTTTTTTGTTCATTTAGGCTTTTGGAGGTGATGATTCAGATGTTGGATCCCCCAGGATTAATCTCACAGCAACAGCAAAATCAAATCCTCCTGTAGATTCTCAGTCACTTAGAGAGTCTGACATTCAATTAAATATGTTTCTTTTAGATTTTATTTTATTATTTTATTTTTTTTAGGATTTGGGTGAATTTTATAATTTAAATATGTTTTTATGAACATGTACAATTTAATTGTTCTTTGTAAAATATTGAATTTGATGGTTTGATTAATTTTTATTTTTATTTTCTGTTATGATGTTTTTGTGAATGGAATGTAAATAATTAGCTCTTAGAGAGAGAGACGGCACCACCGTAGGAAAAAATAGAAAATTTTAATATTTTTATTAATTTTGTTACAGGGTTTACTTTTTGCGACGATATTATACTGTCGCAAAAAATAGAAATTTTATTATTTTTTAATATTTTTTGCGACGGCATTACACTGTCGCAAAAAATAGAAAATTTCATTTTTTTATACTTTCTGCGACGGCACCACCCATCGCAAAAAACAGTGTTTTTTTTAAAAAAAAGACTATTGGCGACGGTGTTTTTTGCCGTCTCAAATAACGTTTTTAGCGACGGTAAAATAGGGCTGTCGCAAAAAAGTCAAGAAATATCAAACGTTATTAGCGACTGCACGGTACCATCGCAAAAAGGCAAAAATGCCGTCGCAAAACATTAGCGATGGCACTTACCGTCGCAAAAACTCTTTTGCAACCCCTGCAGTTGCGACCCCCCTCTTGCCGTCGCAAAAAGTATTAGCGACGGCAGTAGGAGTATTAGCGACGGTATTTTACCGTCGCAAAAAGTTAATTTTTTTGTAGTGTTCATACAATTTATTTTATGTTATTTAGTTGTTATTGTATGAGTTACATGGTTATTAGTGAATGAGTTACTAAGAGTTGATAAAATAAATAAGAATTTTCTTTCTTAACATTCTTACTAATTTATTTGATTTGTTTGTTATTTGTTTTCTTTTGTAACTAATTTTCTTTACAGATTTACCTAAGCATGAAAGGAGGATATATAATACAAATTAACAAAACAAATTGGAACTAGTAAATTGAATTACTAATTTTTAGTTTGAACATGATTACCTTTGTGTGGAATAAGGAATAATATTGGACCTTTGAATTTTTAGACATATTAGTGAATTTAATTATTTAATTTATAATTCACTTTTATTTCGGATTTATTCCATAATGTGTATTGGAAGTTTGTAAAATGTGTTATTTTGATTAATTAAATTTTGAAAATGTCAAAGAGTTGGATTTTGTATATTGAGAATTTTAACAGATTTGTCTTGTCTAGAGCTTTTCGACGATATAAAGAACGTTTCAAACGGAATCCGAATGAACCTAAACGGTTGCCGAAAAGTTTAGCGGTTTTTCTTATCTATATGATGACATCATCATGACTGAGAGATGATTTTAGTGTCATGCAGTAGCCTAGTCAGCAACCATGTCATTGGTATGTAGCTGACCAGTCAACGAGATGTCAGCAAGTTTGGCCCCTGAACTTTTTGGTATTTGTAGTTTAGCCCCTAGAAGTTTATGAAATTATGATTTGACCCCTAGGGAAGTCAAGAAGTATATTCTTGGCTAAACAAATCATTTCGAACGCAACCGTGAACTCTGGTCTTGCATATTTGGACAATTTATAATTGCAATAATCATATTTCAATTGTAATAGTTTTAATTTTTAAATTATAATACTTCCACCTTAGTAAATGGAAAAGGGAAAAGAAATTATGAACCTTCGGGTTTGTTGGAAAAATCTTTGGGATTAATTTTATTATTCTCAAAATGTTTTGTTTTTATGTAATAGAAACCAAATTTTAGCTTTGGCTAGAGTATTTCTGATTTGTATTCAGAAATGGTAACCAAAACGGATTTGGGTTTTAGTGGGTTGCAAGATTTGGGTTTTATGGAAGTCTTTGGGTTTAATCTACTTATCCCCAAAGTGTTAGAAAATTAAGTTTTGAGAAAGTTTTTAATTATAATCTGATTATTTTCAAAAAAAATTTGTTTTAGAAAAAGAAACAAAATTTTAGCATTAACTAAAATATTTCTGATTTTTATTCAAAAATAATGGGCTCAGTTCTAGGAGTACCAGTTAACTTTTATGAGCTGTGTAATTCTGGTAACAATTTTTATTTATTTGGAATTGGTATTTTAATTGTTTTATCCCCTAGAAGCTTAATTCTGAATTTGTTTCCCTTTGACAATGAGTTAACAAGCTCTTGAAAGTTCTATTTAAGGTTAATTGAGTTTTAAGTCGGATTGTTGTGACCCCTCCAGTCTTCTTGGAAACTTTCCTAACCTTGTTTGATTATGAAGTTTGTGGTGAGATTAGTTTTGAATTAAATTTTAGTTTTTGGGATTTCGTAGTGTTAATTTGGTTTCTAGAGAAACAGAATAGTTGAAATTTTGTTGTAGTTTTCAGAAATGGCTTCAAAGGTGACAATAGGAAATGTTATTCCACTTGACAACCTTAAGTCATGTAAGGTTCTTAAAGGAAGATCAAGAGAGATCAAGTGTGGTTAGAGGAAATCAAAAGATTGCATAATAATAGCTCTGAATTAATTAGAGACAATTAGTATTTTATCCTTGTGTCAATAATAGCACGTGTGATTGCTATGTGATTTTGCTTAAAAGCAAAGATGAGACAACCTATTAGGGTGGGTGAATATATTTTTTGAATTTAAAAAAAAAAAATTCAAATATATTCTTAAATTTGTGGCTCCTAGAAAGTGTAATATCACTGATCATAGGGATAGAAAACTGGTGGTTTCTAGGAGATGTTAGACTATTGGCTACATAGTTATGAGATTGTGATTCCTAGTAGTGAACAAATTACTGATCATATGTCAAGACATGATGATTTCTAGTAAAGAAAGAGTCTACCAATCCTAGGTCATGATATTGTGATTCCTAGTAGTAGAGTGACTATTGATCAAATATCAAGACATTGTGATTCCTAGTAGTGAAAGGTCTACTGACCACATGTTGAGAAATTAGTGATTCCTAGTGATAAGACTACTAGCTATGTTATGAAGTTCCGAATAGTAGACTATTGAACACTGGATCTGTGTTTCCTTATAGTAATGCTATTAGCTTTAGGGTGACAGGTTTGACCAAATATGTTCTAGTGCCTTGAATTTGGAAAATATCTAATTCGATTGATAACAGTTTGGGAATGTGTTTTCTCTGTTATGATTTTGAGAGTTTTATAATCATTGTGACACAAGGAATTATTTAAAGACCTTCTACACATTTTTGAAGAGGCTGGGAGCCTTCGTACAAATTCTATAAATGTGGGGGTGTCATGTAAAAGGTGGCAATACCTAAACCCAAGTGGGTAAGATAGGCCTAAAAACCGTTGACTTTGTGTTCAATGGTTATGCACAATATAGTAGTGCATATCAATTTCCTTGTAGATGAATATGATATCTAGATTTACACAAGAATACAATTATAGAATTGAGGAAGCAGTTTTTATGAGGAAAGAGATGGGGCTTGAAGATGTTAAAAGGTTGGGACTTTAAATTTCTCCTGTTTAATTTTCTTAAATCTATATAGTGGCTAGTGAGGTTAAAAGCTTCTTTGAAGCTGTGATTTTTCTAGAAAGAAATTATTAATTTAACTTTATCTTGCATAGGTAGTAAGCCTTGGGATACAAGTAAATGGAAGCCAATGAGACATGCTTGTTATCAAAGGATACCGACAAAGATAAGGTTTGGATTACTTTGATATGTGATCACCGGTTATGGTGAGTGTGATAAAAAATTGTGCGAAGTCTAGAAATAAATCAAAATGGATGTTCAGATAACTTTCTTATATAAAGATTAAGTTGAATAAATCTTTATGGAACAACTTGAAGGGCTTGTCGGTTCCAGGACGAGGGAAGTTTGTAAGCTTGGAAAATCATTATATGATTTGAAACAAGTACCATAACACTAGCATGTGAAATTTGACAACACAATATTGTCAAGTGGGTTTTAAATAAACAGGTATTGAAAAACTCAATTGGACTTAATGGGAAATGATTACTTCGTCATTGTTGTTATTTATTAATGTCGTGAATGGGCTATTGTATTTATTTTCGGGGTGTTACATAGTGGCTCTTTCGGATCCCCAACAAACTTGTTTAGATTCGACCGAAAGAACTTCATTTTTAGAAAAGATAGCCCTGTTTCTGCAACATGGGCCTAGACTTGATTCTCAGCCCTAAGAATGTCCATGGATTCCCACAATGCTCCTATCATTTCACAAGCTAAAGCGCCCATGGCTTGCTAATCGGCTGGCTTGGCCATGTTGGCTTGACCAACTCCTTCCTCTTGCGCCAGAATCTCATCTGGTATTGGTACCTTCTGCTGCCTAAGCTTGCCATGCTTGCTACCACTACGTCCTCGTGTTGACATTCTAATAAAGGTAACATGATAGATTAGAACATTTACAAATGTGTCGAAGCTAATTTACTCGCGTCCTAATACAATGGACACCAAGTAATTCACTCCATATAAGCACCTAATCACATAATCACAAAACGAATTTCTTTTCTAGATAAGGATTGTTCTACGATATTGCGAGAGTTCCAGTTAGAATATGTAGTGATCAAGTGCTCTTCTAATAGGACTTTTACAAACTTGTAGATCCAATCAATATCTTAGAAACCAAATCCCATACCCATCTATTCACATAAACATGTTATTACATAGCATACCAGGTCTACTTCTAATATTATTTAGCGAGATAAACCCATTGTGGTAAAAACCATATCTCACGTTCCCAAAGTATTCAAACCCGATAGTTCTGATACCAAGTTGTAACATCCCGAAATAATAATAGCCCACATCATAATATACCGTATAATGTAGCGTTATATTTAACATTTCATTGATACTCCTTGATCTTACAAAAGATGACATATGCATGTATACATTCATAAATCCTAGATCCTAAATCTATAGCATATGGCATATGTAAATGAATAGAAATAAAAAGGAGATACATATATGGTTATGCCCTAATGGCTATATCTTTCCAAGTCAATGCTTGGGTACAATAAAAGTGAGATCAAGTTAATACAGTTAAAGTCCATGACTTGTACAAATATAATTACATCAAAGAAGACAAAAGAGGCTCTTGGCTCCCACTCCTCTCAAGCTATATTCTTGGTGAAGGCATATCATCAGCATCTGAAAATTGTTTTCTACGTAGGG